GAGCAGACCACTGGGGGTGAGTGGACATCCAGGTCGATCGTTCCAACAGTGATTGATGTGGCCCCATTAAAGCCGATGAGTGATCTAGCAAGTTTGCTAATCTTGGGCTCAAACCTCATCTGTTGGATAACAGATAGTTGCAGGATGTTGGCTGCACTGCCCTCATCTACATGAACTCGCTCGATCACAGTTTGTTCAATTTGGACGCAGATGACTAGGGCGTCATTATGTGGCAGGTCAAGCCCGATCAGAAGCCGATGATAGGTGTATCCCCAACAGCTGGTACTCCCGTTGTGACTTGGGAGACATAAGTTGCCTGCGCGATCTTTCTCTTGCGCTCCTTGGTGGTCAGCCCGGACTCTTGGGAGTCGGCTAGAATGGTGTTGATTCGAATGACCTTTTGGGGAGGTTCCTTGGCAGCTACATCACGATCCTCGATCTGCTGGATAGCCTTCTTTGCAACGAACTCTGTGCAATGGCCCTCTCTGACCAGCTCCTCAAGGTGCCTTTTCCAAGCGTTGCAGTTGTTGGTGTAATGACCGTGCTCCCCGTGGAATGCGCAGTATTTACTGGTGTCTCTTTTAAAGGGGTCTCCCTTCATGGATGGTGGTCGCCTTATCCACGGCTTGTCCTTCACCTGAGCTAGGATCTAGTGGATTGGAATAGCGAACTCAGTGAAGGTCCCTGTTTCTAAGCTTCCCTCTTGGGGCCGCGATCTGCGCTTATCTCGGGCTTTTTGCTAGAACTTGTTGCTTTTTTGGCTTGCCTGCTTCGTCGGGTGGTCAACTTGCTTGCTAGCTTTCTTTGCGGCGATACGATCATCGTCCCAAAGTGCGTAGCGCTCTGCCGTCGCGAACACTTCTGCCCAGGTTTGACTTGGAGTTATGGCCAGCTCCCGGTATAGCTCGTGCTGGGTTGGCAAGCCCTTCTTGAAAGCTGAGGATGCAACTTGGTCGTTGCATCCTATGATGTTAGCCTTCTTGGCCTTAAATCGTCTCAGGTAGTCTCGTAGAGACTCGTCTGGCTTTTTTTGCAGGTTGAACAGGTGGTCTGCATGCTTTCTGACCGTCTTGTAGGAGGTGTATTCCTTTGTGAAAATGATGGTGAACTCCTTGAAGTTGCCTATTGACGCGGACGGTAGGGTGTGGAACCAATCCTGAGCTGCTCCTCGCAGAGTCATCACAAACACTTTGCACATCAGGGCGTCGTCTGCCTTGTACAGGATCATGGCGCTCTTGAAGTGCCTCAAATAGCTGTCGGGGTCAGAGTCCCCCTTGAATGGAGTGATGGATGGCGTTGTAAACCACTTCGGTGGCGGAGCTCGTTCTACCTTGTCGGTAAAGGGCGAGCAGTCAACTCGATCAATTTCCTTGCATAGGGCCTCCTCCGTGCTTCCTTTTAGTCGGAGACCTCGGAGTTGGTCATTTACTAGCTTCACGACATTCTCTGCTCGCAGGGTTGGAGTCTCGGGCCGACGTCTTCGGTGCCTCGAGCGCGACTGGCTAACTTCTTCCTCGGTTCCCAAGGGTCGATCCCCTTGGGTGCTCTGCCCGTGAGGCAGATTAGGAGATTGAGTTTGTGAGGATTCCTCTGCAGCTTGTCGCCGCGTGTTGGTCCTCGAACGGGCTGGGGGGCGGCGATCG